TGCTGAAACCAGTCCACTCAGAATGCTTACACATATCAGGATCTTTATATTGTTCAGATACACGTCTCATGTTTTGGAAGCATTTTGGAGATACTGTTGGTAGCTTCTGCATTTTGACTTGGCCATTAGCTATGCCTGCTACTAGTTTTCAAATGCCTCTATAGCTGAAGGGGCTTCAAATCCACATCATCCAGTTTTCCACAAGAGTGCAGTAAGATTCACTTTAGTATTAAGCTGTTCCTTCAAATGCATATCTGTGCTGTTTAAAGACAGATTAGTATGAAGAATAGAACAGGTGTTGTTTTTTTTTAATATTTGTCTACTGTGTCTGAGTACAGTCATATCTAACTTAGTTTTGCCACATATTCAGCATTAAACTGATTGGAAAGCAGTGACTAGAACATGGAATTACCGTGCTCTCTGGAGAGTGCCACTGAGTTAGTTGTGATGGCTCTCTTGAAAGTACTTGCTCTTGTGTTGTCATTTTTTTTAAATTGTCTTCGCTGTGATAATGCACTGGAAGAACAAAAGGCTTGTTATATTGAGTGAGTGGAAGTCAGTAGTAGTTTCTGTGTACTTTTATTCACAAAACCTCCTTTAGCTAACTGAACTAAGCCTATGCCTAATCATTCAGCATAGCTGTGTTGATTAGAGAGATGATGTTCCCCCTTATGACAGCTGACCTTGCTATTCTGATTAATAGAAATGCAGATGAAATTGTTTACTGTGAGAATTCTTCTTACCTGCAGTCTTTCTCCAAAAATTAACTATTGGGGTTTTGTTAAGTGTTCTTAAGCACCTGAATGGATGCCTTTGTGTCAGAAATATTTCTAATGACTCTCTGTTAGTGCAGAAGCTCATGCGGTATTTCTTAGAAGAAAAAAAATCTTATGCTCTTCATAAGAACTTTGAATTGCTACTCCAAGTTTTGTCTTGCTCATACACTTCAGCTGGGGTTAGAAAAATCTCAAATTTCTCAAGAGAGGAAAAAAGTATCTACCTCTTTGAACAAGTTAGTGCTTTGTAATTAGCACATGTGGCATGAGTTCACATTGAGGTGTTGTATGGTTGCTGTCCTATCAGTGAGATGTAGTTGACTCAGGATTGGAATGTGACAGTAAAAAATTATCTGAACAATTTATGAGCTAAAAGTGAAGGACTTTATATTTTTAAGCACCAATTACAGCAGTTAACGTGCAGGAGTAGGGAGCTTTAGGGTTAGATTTCATTTGTTGGTATTTAGTTTTCGTAACAATCCATAAATATCTCATTTTCTTAAATTTTTTCTTCTTGTAAACAGGCCCTGTTTTTCTTTTGCTTCTGTCTTCCATGTGCTTAGAACAACTTTCTGGCAGCATCTGTTGAACTCTTTCAATAAAATAATTTAAAAAATTGTCTACGTTGTGGAGCATTTCAGTCTACCACACTGATTTGCACTTGTGTTATGTTTGTGAATGATGTAAGCCTTGCAGTGCTCTCCTTGCAGTGCTGTCTAGCATGAGAGGCAGAGAACACATGCTGTTAGAAAACTCTTAGTTCTCTTTGGATTTAAGAACTAGTTTAGATACTGTTAGTTTGTTCTGAGAATGGAAACCCTTTCAGAACTTAGGAAATTTATTTCCAAATTGCAAGTTCTCAAAATTAATTGGTTCAGAACTGAAACTTAGAATGAAAACTAAAAAAAAATAAAATAGTGCTGCTGATCAGAGACTTTCTTGGTGATACCCTTCCAGTTACAATAGAATTCAGGCTCTGCAATACTTGTTGCAGGAAAGCCAACACTTAACAATCTTAATACCTCCAAAATATTAACCGCTTGGGTATTAGTCATCATGGAAGTCTGATGGGAAAGGAAGAATGATTAGCATGACCAGCAGTACTGTTAGTCAGACATTGTTATCTGTATTTGTTAATCCTGTTCCCATTTATTTTGCTGGTGTTGAACTCTGAAACTGCCCTTTAGTGATGTGAGGCAATAGAGGTTTTGGTTTATTTTGCATTTGTGTGTTAAGCATATTATAACATAAAATCTTAAATTGCAAACCAAGTATATTGCAGGTTAAAAAAACCCCAACAAACAACTAAATATATTTTTTTGGGTAACACAACTTCAAAAACTTGTGGCTTTTAGTGGATACCCAGTGCTGTAACTAAAATTGCAACTAAACTTGAGGTTTTTTTGAGGGTAGGCCATCATAGTGGTTTCCTCCTTTTTTGGCACATGAAGAGTTCTAGCTGAGGAAGTGGTCTAAATTTCATATTCTGCTTGACTTTGGAGATGAAAAAAAAGATACTTTATTATGCTCTGGTTTGAGCCAGGACACAACCAATTTTCATTTATTTGACTTTTCAGTTAAGTCTTTCTAAGTCAATGCACTTTCTGAAATTAACAACATGTTTTTCAGTCCATGTCTGCTGCTAGAACTGGTAACACTGTAGATATTGCTGGAGAATGGTATGCAGAACCAAGGTCATTGCTTGGTTCTGCTAATCTTGGGTGCTGGAAACCAAAGGGAGGAGAAAGGATAACACCTGTTACCCTCTTACAGGGAGAAATGGACGAGACAGGTAACTCAAAATTGACCAAATGCAGTATTTCATCCCATACGTGTCATACTCAGTATAAATCTGAGGGATTGTAGAGTGTTTTGAGTTGGAGGGGACCTTAAAGATCATCTAGTTCCAACCCCCCTGTGTGGGCAGGGACACCTCCCACTGGATCAGGTTGCTCAGGGCCCTATCCAGCCTGGCCTTGAACACTTCCAGGGATGGGGCTTCTACTGCTTCCCTGGGCAACCTATTCCAGTGTCTCACCACACTCACACTAAAGAATCTCTTCCTTGTGTCCATCCTAAATCTCCTGTTTTTCCTTGTAAAAAGTCCTTCCCCAGCTATCCTGTAAGCCCCTTTCAGGTACTGGAAGGATCACAATGGTCAAGCGCTCTTCAGCCGCAGCTAGCATCCTGGGAGGACTCCATCTCTTCTTCTGCCTTTTATCCTGATCTGTGTGTTCCTAAATCTGGTTCATATCACCCTGTGAGTCCAGGAGTCCATTCCAGGACATCCCCAGGGCCTGGAGCCTCAGTGGGGACATGAGCCTTATTGCAGGGGGTGTGTAATTTTGGTTTAGTATACATTTGTACATATTTCATTTTTTTCATAGTTATTGTTTCATTAAAGCTGTGTGGCTTCATTTCCAACCTGTAAGTCTCCCTTATTCTTTTTCTGGGAAGGGAGTGGGGTTAATAGAGAATGTCTGTCAGTCAATTAATTGCTGGCCCAGTGTTAAGCCTTGACATAGTTAGAAGTATGGGTGGTGTTAAGTGACAGAATTACTGAATATGGAACACTGAAGCTTTAGAAGGAATGAAGACTGAAAGGGGCGAGTTTAAGAATGAGAGAACAAACATGTTAGTTCAAGCTGTGGTTGCTCTGCAAGCCAGGATATTTTGTACTGAATACTGAGTGCAGCAAATCAGGTTGAGTTATTACTGTAAAATACACAAAGGAAAAAATACTGGTAAATAACTAAATATGTAGTATGTTCTTCCTTACTAGTCCATTATCATTGATACAGGAGGGTTGGATCTATTAAGCTTTTGCTTTTCTCCTTGACTGTCCTATAACACAAATCTACTAGGTTAGATATATTTGCATATTTTTTAATGTAACTTTAAAACTATTTACTAACTAATAAAACATAGCAACTGAAATGGTAGTTTTATCTACAGAAATTGAAATGGGATTGCCTATTTTAGTAGTAGGAAGTTAATTATTTCAAAGCTGGCAAATATCAGAAGTCTGGCTAAAATACTATAATTATTTGAAATACTCCCAGTTAGAAAATTGGGGTTTTTTTTGTCTAATGGGTATTTACTGTAGTATCCCCAGCTGCTGAAGCATTTGCATTTTGGAACTGTATTTCTGTAATAGTACTGCCTTGGCTCTGTAGCACTGTTGTTTCTACTGCATTGTGATATGTTATAGGATATTCTCAAGAGTAAGTGGTTTAAGCATGTCAAAGAAAATACAATCCAGTGATACTGGAAAGAGGTGGGGTTTTTTATGTTTAAGTGATTGGAGCTATTGTTAAAGGCTATTTGGATGAAATGTAATTTAGTAGCAACAGAAGGGCAAATGTTTTGCCTGTTTTTTTCCTGTAGTTGTTAAAATTTAGGGTATGTGAGGAAGAGCTGTTCAGGGCATCTGTTTATTTTGTTAGGCTGATGTAGGTGAGCTGCACTGCTGTGAAAATTCTAGCCTCATTGTAATATTTGGAGGAGCATTTTTTAAGTTTAGAAGTGACACTTCTGGTTGCATTACATGGACAGATTCTGGATTTAATTTTCTTTTCTAATTGCAAATTTTTAAAAACTAGTATTTATAATAGTTTAAGTTTTTGCTTACTAAATTAAGTGTGCTTTTATGACAAGTATGCTTGTTAGGAAAGCATACATTTGTCGCCTTCTCAATTGACAGTCTTCAGGCAAATATTTCTGTGCATTAGATAAACTGAAAAATGTGGGGGAATATAAATAGAAATGGGCAGCTGGACTATGTATAGTGTAACATTTTCATATTTTGTCAATCCTGTTTAGGCTCGATCGTCTCTTTATTTTACTGGACACTGGTACAACACCAGTAACGAGAAAAGCAGCTGCACAGCAACTTGGGGAAGTAGTGAAACTGCATCCTCATGAACTGAATAACCTCTTGTCTAAAGTAAGCATCTTTTTTTTTTTTTTTTAGCTTGTTTTCAGGGCTTTAAAGGGGTTGGGGTTCTGTGAGAAGAAGACAAGGCATAGTAATCTTGTGTTCTATGGAAACAGTAGTCTGAAGAAAATAAGGAGACTGTTTCTGTTAAATTTGCTGTTTTCTCAGACTCTGAAATGGTTACAAAAATGAGGTTTCACTTTGCATTCAGTATTGATACGGAATGTTTGCTGTAAGTTCAGCTCTTCTGTAAAGAGCTCTACTGTCTTACAAAAAAATTCTGCTCCTGCCTTTAGAGATTGTTACTGATGTGATACAGCATTAAAAATATAGAAGACTGCATGTCTTTAAAAGGACCGGAAAATGGGAAGTGATTTCTATTAGTTTGAGACTTCAACCTGGCCAAGTCCAATAAGAACACCAAAAATAGTCTGTATCTGACAGCTGGAGATGGCTGAGTGACCTCAATTCTGCTCTTATTAAATAGTTGCCCTCACCGCAATTGATAGTATCAACAGAGCAACCAACGAATCATGAATATCAAACCACTTTCAGAGAAAGAAATAGTTTTTCCAGGTTTGAGACATAGTGTTAAATTAGTTTAGAAGGGCATATCTTGCCTCAGTTGACCCATGTTGTCTCTCTACTTCGGTTAAATTACTTAAAAGTTTTAAGGTTTGTTAATCTCTTTTGAACACATAGTTTTAGATAGCAAAAAGCCAAAAGTCTCAAGCCTTGTTTAGTACCTGGCAGAAATTAAGGTTGAGTTTGACTGATGGGACTAAGTATGTCCTATGAATTCTTTATGTTGAGCTGCAGTGAGAGTTCTGCCAAGCAGTAAGCAATATAGAGAAGGCTGCTCACATTTCTTTAGTTTTTCTTGTCCATTGTTTTTCTTGTTTTGAATATTGCCTTAATCCCTAGCATTAAAAATGTGTTTAATAGTGTAAAACAGCTGATGGATTTTCTGAAAGTACATTTAAAGCAAATATTTATTTTTGATCTCTCCTTAAAGGTGTTAGTGTATTTAAGAAGTACCAATTGGGATACACGTATTGCAGCTGGCCAGGCTGTTGAAGCAATAGTGAAAAACGTACCTGAGTGGAATCCAACACCAAGAGCAAAGCAAGGTGCTTCTTAAATGAATGATATTAAATTGTTTATCTGATGCAAACTGATAGTGATATAACACTTTTCAAGGCAACTATGTCATTCTAGTTTTTTAATGTGCTTAGACTGTTGTAAACCTCTTTGATTTTACATGTTCAGAATCAATTAAAACAATGTCTGTCCTTTGTTTCTTCTAAAAATCTTTCTTGTGCTCTATACCCTTAAAAAGCTTTACTTTTATAAAGAAAAGTAATAACTAGTAAAATGGCAAAAATTTTAACCAATTAACTTTGTCATTATAATTTACACACCTTCTTTCTTCTCTGTTCCTTTGCTCAAAGCACCTTTCTGAGGGAGGTAAAATGGTATGGGTTACATGCATTGTCCAGTTCTTGCTTATCTGCCTACCACATAGGACTTTGATGTAGTAGTCAAATAGGTGTTTTACAGTGGTTACATTTAAGTTCTTAGATTTGCTATAAATCACTTAACATTTCATTAAACATATGCAAAAAGATAACTTTTTCTTCGGGTCTGAAGAAATGTAGGTGGTGTTTATTTTGTAGTGTTTTGTAAGCACTTAGACTCATTCTACTGTAAATGAAAAAGCTTTCATAAATACGTGTGAATGTGGGATTAAACAAACCAGACTAAATGCTATATTTCTTGTAGGCAACAATTGTATTTATACTGCTGGCTGTAATTCAGGAGGGTGGTGAATTATGTAGGAATTAACAGTCTTTTGGAATACTAAACTGGACATGACTAGGAGCCACAAAACACATCTTGGAGTGTTGAGGGGGAGGGAATACTTTGGAGGTGAATTCATAACCAGGAAGTAAGATGCCTTGTCAGAATCACAGAATGTTAGGAGTTGGAAGCAACCTTTGGAGGTTCTAGAGTATAACTTCCTTTCCAGAGCAGGACTCACAGAATCTAGGGCAGGTCGCAAAAACACATTCAGACAGGGCTTGAAAGTTTCCAGAAAAGGAGACTCCACAACCTCTCTGGGCAGCCTGTTCCAGTGCTCTGTCACCCTTTCACTAAAGAAGGCTTTCCTAATATTGAGGTGGAACTTCTTGTGCTCTAGTTTGCATCCTTTGCTCCTAGTCCTATCACAGTGCACCACTGAAAAGAGATTGGCCCCTCCTTGAGATCCATGCTTCAGATATTTATATACATTAGTAAGATCCCCTCTCAGTCTTCTCTAGACAAAACAGCCAGAGGTCTCTCAGCCTTTCCTTATAAGACAGGTCTTCCAGTCCTTTAATCATCCTTATAGCCCCCTGTTGGACTCTCTCAAGTAAATCTCTCTCTCTCCCAAACTGGGGAGCCCAGAACTGGACACAGTACTCCAGGTCTAGTCTCGCTAGGGCAGAGTAGAGGGGGAAGATAACCTCTCTCCACCTGTTTGACACTCTTTTTAATGCACCTCAGGATGCCACTGGCTGCCTTGGCCATGTGGGCACATTGCTGTATTGTCCACAAGGATGCCAAGGCCCTTTTCCACAGAGCTGCTTTCTAGCGAGTCAGCTTTTAACCTGTTTTGGTGTATGTTCTTGTTCCTTCCCAGGTGCATGACTCTACACTTGTTGAGTCTCATTATGTTCCCCTTTGCCCAGCTCTCCAGTCTGTCCAGGTCTTGTTGAATGGTTACACAGCCTCCTGGTGTATCAGCCAATCCTCTCAGTTTTGTGTCATTAGCAAACTTGCTGAGGATACACTCTATCCCCTCATCCAGGTTGTTGAAGATGTTGAGCAGGACTGGACCCACTAGTTACAGGTCTCCAGCTGGATTCTACAGCATTGGTCGCTATCCTCTGGATTCTATTGTCTAGCCAGTTCTCAATCCATCTCACTGTCCACTCTTCTACCCATACTTCGTGAGCTTGTTATGAGGATGTTATGAGAGATAGTGTCAAAAGCCTTGGTAAGGTCAAGGCATCCTACATCCACTGGTCTTCTGCTTCAGTCACAACATCATAGAAGGCTATCAGATTAATCAAACATGATTTCCCTTTGGTAAATCCATGATAGCTACTCCTCAAACTTCTGCTCTTCATGTGCTTAGAGATGGCCTCTGGAATGAGCTGCTCCATTGTTGTTCCGGGGATGGAGGTGAGGCTGACTGGTCTGTAGTTTCCTGGATCATCCTTCTCACCCTTTTTGGATACTGGAGTGGCTTTGGCTTTCTTCCAGTCCTCAGGCACCTCTTCTGTTTGCCATGATCTTTTGAAAATGTTGGAGAGTGTTAGAGCAACAACATCCCAACACTCATGGGTGCATCCTGTCAGGGCCCACTGATCTGTTTGTATTCAATTTACTTAATGGATCTCTAACCCAGTCCTCATTGACCAGAGGAGAGTCATCCTACCTCCAGGCTTTCTCTCTTATATCCAGAGTTTAGGATTCACAAGAGCTGGTCTTTGGAGTAAAGACTGAAGCAAAGAAGGTATTCGGTAACTGTCTTCTCTGCATCCTCTGTTACTTTTCTGTATCAGTATTGGACTGCACTGTACCTGGATTTGAGAAGAGCTGATAACTAGACTTCAGCAGCCCTTACCAGCTGTTTTTCTTCTGTACCTGCTAAGACTACACTCCAGCTTCCATAGCAGAAATGCTTGGCTGTTGATCATATGATAGATACAATGTTGGCATGATACTTACTTGAACTATTTGTGATCCAGTGACAGAGAAGACACAATGGTATGTCATTGTCCAACATTTTAAAAAGCTACATTTTTCAAGGGAAAAACGATTTTTTTAATATATTCAATTAAGTGTGTTAAGCGAGCTTTCTCAATCTGTCTTTGAGAAATGAATGCTTTACACTTTGTGAATCAAAATGCTGTATGTCTGATACTTCCTTTGGAGGAGATAAATTATTTCTTCCCTGTTCTCTTGCTTAATCTTCTGCCAGAACTTTGAACAAAAATTTCATTATGTCCTTTATATTGTTTTCAATGTCCTATCTAGAACCAGGCTCAGAAAGTCCTATGGAAGATTCACCTTCAACAGATCGGTTGCGTTTTGACAGATTTGATATATGTCGGTTGTTGAAACATGGTGCATCTCTTCTTGGATCTGCTGGCGCAGAATTTGAAGTCCAAGATGATAAATCAGGTATATCTTTAAATTTAAGTTGCAGACAAGAAAACTTCCTGATTTCAAAACGTTTGTTGTGGCATCCATGGTTTCTCAGAATGCTAGGAAATTTTGGTTTGTATTATCTTAAGTTGAATGATTTTATTTTTTTTAGGAGTGTGTATAATTTTTCTTGTATCAGAATTAGTTTGTGTACAGGGGGAAACCTGAAAGAGTATTAAAGACTTCTGTAGGATTTCAGTACACTCTTTTAAGAAGTGCAGGAACTATCACCACTTGGTCTTCATTAAAACTGTGTTCCCAAATAGAGTAGTAGGCTTATTTAAAAGCTTGAAGGTTTCAAATACTACATTGCCTGAAAAATACTGTGTTAAAACTTAAGTTGGAAGGTCAAGTATCAGTGCTTGTGTGATATCTTGTTTTCAGTCACTTGCCTGATACCTTTCTGCAACTGTTTAGCTGAGTTGGTTTGTATCAGTGTATTGGCATTGAAGTAATCCAAGGTGGGTTTTTTGCTGTTGCTGTACTCCCCTGCTGTAATTCAGTCCATTTTCCAGTTTCTGCAACAAGTGAAATCATGCTATAGATAAGAATATGCTCTACCTGCATAGCCTTGATTCACTTGTTCCCTGCTTGTGACACTTGCTGTGCAGTGTACACAGAAGATCACTAGCTCAGCAAGGAACAGAACCTATGGCTGCTGACACTTAAGTACAATCTTGTCTGTTAAGCCTCACTGCTGTGTTATCGCTTGCCACCTTTTATGCTAGGTTAATAGGGTGTTGTACAAGTTCCGTCTCTTCTAATGAAACCTTATTTGTTCAGAAATCAAATAGATGGAATAGGACACTATTTCATAGAAATCTATTACCATAGAAATCTGGTATTTATCCCAAGTTCATATGACAGTGTATACATTTTATTAATGGAAATAAAATATATAATATAAAAAAAGCAAATAGCGTTAGATGCTGCTTTTTTAACTGGTGGGAAACTGTACAAAGGCTGTTTTCTGCATTCCATAGCTGCTTTCTCTTTCAAGTGAGTAGCCAATGTGAATGGATGTAAAGCAAGTTGAGTAATCTTTGACACTTATTCCAAAGATGAACTTCTGAAAGGGAAATATCTTTTAGAGAATGTAGGTTGTTTCTCTGTCAGTTAAATGCAATTGAAAAAAAAGCTTATCGGTATAGATATAATTACTAATTACTACTCAACGTGGTGTATGTTCTGCTAATATTGGTCACCTGCTTACTAGCTTATGTGCAGATATTTGACCAAAAAAAAATTGTGTCCTCGTTTCCATACCACATATGTAAAAGAGACTGAAGTCTGACAGCTCTGTAGGCTACAAGTTTTGGTTTACTTGGAGGTTTTATTCTATTCAGGCACTAAAAATAACCTTATTTTTAGTGTAAATGTGGGTGCTTTCAAAGTCTAGCTGTTCAGTAATTAGTGTTGAAGCTTCACTATATTATTGAGTTCACTTCTGTTAATTTCCTAAATGAGCCTTACTAGACACTAGTATGGCATCAGCAGCAGGGAAGGTCTTCCTAGGAATGGTTGTGGTTTCATTTGAAAGATTGTGTAGATGTATTAGCCAAATATGATTGAATTCTGTAACTCTTATTATTCCAATGAGCAAATAAATCTTCAATAATACATCTGGTTGGAAGTCTTACACATTTTCGCTTTTTAAAAAACTTATTTTTTTAAGGTGAAATTGATCCTAAGGAGAGGATTGCACGACAGAGGAAACTGTTACAAAAGAAACTTGGCTTAGACATGGGTGCTGCAATTGGGATGAATACTGAAGATCTGTTCAATGATGAAGATCTGGACTATTCGCCTTCTTCAGTTTCACTAGTAAACAAACAACCTGTAGGTAAAACCTTGGGCTATTTGACTGCGAGGAATAATAAAGTGGATTTGCTTTATTTCATAGAATAATAAAAGCATTTAGGTTAGAAAAGGCCTCTAAGATCATAAACCTAACACTGCCAAGTACAGCAAAGTTTTGATTCTGCAGTTACAATCTTTAAGTATCAATGTCCAATTAATGTCTAATATGGTATGCTTTAGCTTCCTGAATTCTTATGCCCCATAGTTGCATGTTGATGTTGTTTGATGTTAAACTGCTGCTCTGAGTTTCAAATGATAAAGGGTTGGGGAATCTTGAGAGCAATGTGGGTTTGGGAATTTTTCAGGACTTTAAGAAGAATTGATAATGAATGACTTATCTTTCAGACTCTTCAGGCTGCTGAGTTAATTGACTCAGAGTTTCGAGCTGGTATGAGTAGTAGACAAAAAAATAAAGCCAAAAGAATGGCTAAGCTGTTTGCAAAGCAAAGATCCAGAGATGCAGTGGAAACTAATGAGAAGAGGTAAAATAGTGAACTGATTTTATTTCGGTTAAGCTGGGATTGTGATTTATCTGTTGAAAAACTTCCTTAAATCTTTGCATCTTAATCTTTTATGTGCTGATGGTAAAAACACTTGCTTGTGTGCCATACTTATTCCACATGGGGCTTTGTTAAAGACCTAGCTTCAGGGGGATCTTGAAATAATGGGATGCTGGAGTTGAGATTTGTGGTTTGTTCCTGTTATTAAATATGGCTTGAAAATAGTGTCTGAAAATGTGGTGTTTAAGAAGATGAACAATAACTAAGAATTTCAGTTATAACTTTCTAATATATGCTCTGTTTCTCACTGCAATTTATAGTGACAGAGTATTATCCCTATTGTGTTTATAACAAGCTATAAACAAAATTATCTTTCCATGATTTTTTTCAGTTTAAGAATTTCTGTAATTCTTAGAAAAGGCTGAGGATTTTGGACAGCATTCTGCTTTCTCCTCACTGAATTATTTCACGTGTAAACGTAACTATTTCACTTATATAACAATGTTAAACTTCTTTGTTTTATGTTCTTGCCACACTTATTTGATCTGAGACTTCAGTTGTAGAAGTAATTCTAAAGCATACCTTCAGTTCATAAACTGGTACTTGTTCTTTCTCAGCAATGATAGCACTGATGGGGAACCAGAAGAAAAGAGAAGAAAAGTTGCAACTGTTGTCATCAACCAGCCTGCCACAGACTCAAAAACATCGGTAGAAAATGCTACAGAAGAGGTATTTATTTTCTGCTGTTAGCAGAAATGATCATTCAGTTTTTAGCACAGTAATGTAAAACAAAACTTCTATGCTCCCAAATCCTTTAGCTAAGCATGGGAGAAATGGAGCAAAGAATGCTGTTGCCAGCTTGCTTTTATAGGTAGTGAAGCAAATGGGCTTCAAACTTTGCATAGCATTGAGGAAGAAAACGTGTTTAATGCATTGGTAGCAGTTTGTGACCCAAATGAACCTGAGTAGGTGGATTACAGGTTTCAGACCTGGGTGTTAAACTGTAAAACTGTGCTAAACACTCAGATGAAAGGATTACACTGAGCCATAAATAATTTGATCTAAATGTTCATGTACACTTTATTTAATCTTTGCCTTACCTTAATTAGGCTTAATTTAGAATTAAGTTCTATCTTTAGTAGTTGAAGATTTAAACAATTATCTTAGTCTTAGAAAAACTTACTGATGGTACATGGAAGTTTAAAGAGACTTGATCTTGATTAGACTCTATTCTACAATTATTTTTTTTCTAAACATAGCTTAGTAATTAGATTCTTCGCAAAGCAAAGATTGGGAAGCAAATTTGAGAGATTAATGATAACTGCAGGCTGAATAGCTCTTGAGTTAACAGCCTTTCAAATGCTCTGTGTTTGTGATGGCATGAACTTAAAAATACTAGTATCAACATACGCTTTCCACAGCCATGTCAGTTTCCCTGTAGGAAATTTTGGGATAGTGGTTATGTGGGATGTATTTTGAAAAGTGTGGTGTTTATACTGGTTTAATTTACCCAGTTTGGATACACAGCGTGATTTCAAACTGAGACTTGCCTCTTATGTTCTTTAAGGCAAAGTTCATGACTTTATAGAATGACTGGGGAGGATAAGAGACTTTGCTTAATTTTCTGCCTTAGCATGGTCCCTAAGGGGAGGCTGAATTGCAGAACATTGCAATTGATTGCCATAGAGAAGAGGTTACACAATAACAGACAAACTGCGTGAACTTTTTTAAAGAGCTGGTGCCAATCAGCAAACTTTCTGAAGTGCTGAAGAAGGTTGGTTGTTTTTTCAGTTCTGTCCAGCAACAAGGAAAAACACTTAAGCTTTTGGAGGTCTTTATCTTCATCTAAGCGACATTCATTGTAAGAAGTGATTGCCTAATCTCTTACTCTTTCAATCTTCTACTTGACAATTTTTTTATAAATTTAGGCAAATGAATGGCCTCTGGAAAGCTTTTGTGAAGAGGTGTGCAATGATCTCTTTAACCCTTCTTGGGAGGTAAGATGTGCAGTATCTAAGGTGTAACTATAGATTTTAAAAAGGCTTCAACAGAAGCACGAAGATTGTATGTGTAGTACTTAAAAGCATTTGCTAGATAGCAAGAATTACATCAACCATAAATACAGGCTACGTAGCCAAGGTGAATCTGCTTTTAGGGAACTTAAGTGATTTTTAAGTCTTATTTAAAGGGGGAAGGAAAACATGTGCAATGTATACTCAAGTGGAGAGTGGGAAAGATATAGAAAGCAGTGATTATAAGTGAGAATTTTCAAAGTATTTAAATTAAAGTAGAGTAAAAGCACGAATCTATGGTCAAAAAGATGAAGCAATTAAAATGGACTTGGATGCATCAAGAGCTTAAGGAATATTTTATGAGTATTGCTGATAACAGCGGCATGTTTGTCTGATGCTAAGCTAGTAAAAAAAGGGGGAGATCAATCCTTTGGTAACAGAGTAGGCTATTCTTAATTAGTAAAGTTATCTTAATTTATAAAAAGGGATTTCTAACTTTTTTTTTTAGAATTATAGTAAATGCCAGTTACAAACACTATATTTTTGGTTACTTAGACAACCTATTTTCAAGATTCAATATCTGTTCTGCTCACCCTTTTATTCAATCCTTTTACTGTTTTCCACAAACTTTATCAGTTCCAACCAAAACTTTGAAATAGCTGATAATGGTGTCTCTTCCTTGAGCAGAAGATGGAAATAACTGCTGTCAACTAACTTCAGTTTTTTTTAATAAAAGTTGGTCTTTTTAAAGATTAATATTGCTTCCATTTAGCTTAGGAATTTACTAAAACCAGTAGTATCTTCTAGTTGCTCTTTCTCTGACAACTAATGTCTTATAGTGAGGCAAAACTAAATGGATACTGTACTGCAAATATTGTAACAATATCTTCTGTGTTGGAAAATAGAAGCAATTCTTATTTGTTCCTGTCCACAAGCTGGCAAATACTTAGGAAGAAAAAAAGGTTGGTTTTGGACAGATTAGTATATGATTTGATCCAATAAAATAACACCCTTTCTTACAAGTTTAAGTACCACTAACTCTCCAGCACTTGAAACATCTCTATTAAGACTAAAGTATTTGTTTCAGTTACCCAGTGTGGTTTTTATCTTCTGTTCCTAAATATATAAAAAATTACTTTTTATTTCACTTTTCTAGGTTCGACATGGTGCAGGTACTGGACTGAGAGAGATACTTAAAGCTCATGGCAAAAGTGGTGGTAAAATGGGAGACAGCTCTTTAGAAGAGGTACGTTTCCATTCATGTAGACTTAACACCTTACTTAAAGTTTGGAAAACAGACTTCTGAAAATACTTAAGCTTCGCAGGAGGTGTGTGATCTGGGCAATATAAACTGAGATTTGATCAAAATTGGGATGAAATTGTATGCACTGATAAAATATTTACATTATTTTTAAAAGGTCTGTGCAAAAAACAATTCTACTTTGTAAGCAGCCATTAATTTGTTGACTGTGTGTAAAGTTATTAGAAATTAGCTTCCATACTAGAAAATAGTATTTTCAGGTCATGGTAAGGGTGTGCTGAAGCAGAATTGACAAGTTGATGATGTAACTCTAGTAAAGTATCTTAGACCATCCAATTCTATTAACTTAAATAGTAACTTTATTGGTCTGCTTGCTGTGTTATGATGATAAAAAGTATTTAAATCATGTATTTAAAATTAAGACACTTAAAAAATATACCCTGACAGTAATAACTTGTTTACTAATTGTGAATCTTACCCATATTCATACTGACTTGCCTAATCTAAAAGAAGCTGGGAGAGCTTGTGGGTTAGAGCATGTGGAAGAATGAGGATATACATTTATCAAATATAAATTGAGCTACTTCAGCATACTTTGTATAATAGGAAATCAAAAGTTATGGCTCCTTGATTCCATGTGGAGTAGTATTTGCTCCATGAGTCTGTACGGTAATAACACACACTGCAATGATAAGATACTTTAAACAGCATCTTAAATAGTTAAGGAAAGAGTGTGTGTGCTCCAGGCTAGTTTCAAAGGCTGCTGTGTATGCTATATGCAGGCTATAATTCTTTGACATGTATGGGAATATGAAAATCACAATAGGATGAATTTTTTTTCATGAAAACAGTAGTTTTCAAGGGAAGTGGTGAGCTAGTAAGCAACCAGTGGAGATGAGAAAGATGATGCCTGAGCTGTTGCTTTTATGGGGCTTCTGCTCTGAGATTGAGGTACAGAGATACTGGGTCTTGAACAGAGCCCAGAGATTCGAGACAAGCTTGGTCTAAATTGCTTTGTTATATCTGGAGGAGACATGGCTGAAGAGAGAGTTCCTTTCACTGGACCTTTTGCAGTGGAGAAGTACTGCTTCATAGTTTATTTGTAAATATTATTCAAACACATACTAAATTCATTTGCCTATGACATGTGGACATTAGTCAGTATAGATTATCTGAATGATCTTACCTTTGTCTGCTGTGTAGGGGTAAAGTTATCTGTCTACCTTACCAGGTGCTCTCTAGCCTTTTGACAAAGGTATTATATGTTTGTTAAAAATAATTGTATTTTTAATAACCCAGGTGAGCACAGTTAGTGCTGACTATTTTGCTTTGACTGTCTATGCAACATTATATTCAGTGAATTTAAACATATCTTATAATGTCTTTTATATAATTATTAACTAAAACAAGCATATCAGAAACCCTTCATGAGTAAGTATAGTCAAGGTGTTCAACTCTTTTCTTTTTACAGATGATTCAACAGCATCAGGAGTGGCTAGAAGACTTGGTTATTAGACTTCTTTGTGTGTTTGCATTAGACAGATTTGGAGACTTTGTTTCAGATGAAGTAAGTTGTCTCTGAACAGATTAGATCAGCAGGCTTCTGCAGGAGATAATGCAGATCAGCTATGCTTTGTACAGTGCTACTGCATGCGCCTGTTGTAACTGCTCACACATGCTTATTGCAAAGTAGCCAATACATACATTTCACCTTGTTTCTGACTCTGCACAAACTGTCATCTTTCTAATTCAAATTTCATACAGAAATCTGTTTTATCATTTACTTTATCCTAGGTGGTAGCACCAGTACGTGAGACTTGTGCTCAGACTTTGGGAGTGGTGTTGAAACATATGAATGAGACTGGAGTTCATAAAACTGTGGATGTTCTCCTGAAGCTGCTTACACAGGAACAGTGGGAAGTGAGACATGGTGGTCTCTTAGGAATAAAGTATGCTTTGGCAGTACGTCAGGTAATAACCCCCATGAGAAACTGCAGAGAGCTTTGGAACAAAAAGCTTCTGTCAGAGTTCTGGATGTGGCTGAACAGTAGATAAGTATGAAAGAGCAAGCTTGCTTGCGTTGCAGCCTCACGTGAGTTATTAGATCTATGACTGGCTGCAAAAATGTATTAAAGTTGTACTGCTATAACTTGATAAGCACAAAACATTCTAGAAGCTATACTTGCCTGGCTTTGGTGATGCTTTCATATACAAGATTAACAGTCTGGTGCTACAAGAAGTTTAGTCTATTCATAATATTATTGTGCAAACACCTGAACTTTGTTTACACCAAAACTGGTTTGACTTCATGAATGGTAATGTACAATATTTCTATTATAGTCTTGGACCTGTAGCTTCTGTTTTACATAACAAACAGGTTTATTCACACACTCTGTATATCTTAGTTTTTTTGGGCATTATATGCTTTTTAAGTTTAAAAATGCTTTGATATTTTTGCAGGACATGATCAACACTTTGTTACCTAAAGTGTTGCCTGCAATAATTGAAGGTCTCCAAGATCTGGATGATGATGTCCGAGCTGTTGCTGCAGCATCTTTAGTACCAGTGGTGGAAAGCTTGGTCCAACTTCAGTCTCAGAAGGTGACTGAATTGTTTTCCATCAATTCTAATGGAAAAATTCACTTTTGGTCTGAGTGAAGAAAATGCTTAGACGCAGCACTTGTATTTTCCTTTTTGGTTTTTTTTTTTTACGATAACAGCTTCTGCTTATTTGTGTAGGTGCCTTTTATTCTTAATACCTTGTGGGATGCACTTCTGGAGTTAGATGACTTGACTGCTTCCACAAACAGTATCATGATCCTTCTTTCTTCCCTTCTGACTTATCCTCAGGTCCGCAAATGCAGGTAACTTTAAAAATTATTATTGCTTCACCATTGCAGGTTTGACTGTCCAGTTATTTTCAAATTGGAATAATCAAAGTTGCTTTCAAATCATGTGCCAAAGATATTTAAATCAGTATTGTAATTTTATTCTTACCTTTCCTTAAAGTGAAGGTTAGGACAGTGCTTTTGTTTTCATTACATGAGTAAAAGGCAACAAAATAATTTAAAAGTACTAGACATTGTTTATCTCAGACCTTCACTGCCCCCTCCCCACTCCTCCTCTGTCTACATTCATCTTGTGTATTTTGGTACAGGGTATTGGCTCCACTCAAATGGTGGTCCTGCCCACAAACTCCTTGTTTGTTCCTTGTTGACAAATTCCAGATGAGAACAGACTGTTAAAACACATGCATGTACCTGTAGAACTTTACTATTGGAATAGTTCTAAAGACAGCTATGAACCTGAATATTCACGTAACAACCAGTAATTCTGTGACTGGTTGAAGACAATACCAAGTTCTTCTCTGGGACTGTGTTAGTATGTTAACACTTTTCATAAAATACATGGTAAGCTCATGGCATCTGCACTTAAGGTAGATGATTTACACATCTTCTCTTTCTCATCCTATATGATTGTCACTGCTGAAGCTGGGGTTTGCCCAATTACAAGATCAAGAATAAAGTTTTGTCAATAATGCTGTCTTTTTAATTGAGCATATACTGTTTGCATCAGTTGATGTGCAAGTTCATGCACAAAAGATCCAAGCCTGGTTTTAATTATTTCTAAACTCATAAATGCCTAATAGATCCCCTTTTTCTAAATAGTTGAACAAAGCCCAAAGTATAATCTGGGAAACAACATGGTCAAATTATATACTTGACTCTCCTATTCCTTTATACCCATAAAAACGTAGTCTTTTCCTGAAAACAGATACTGACTCAAACTATTTTAAATGTTTAAGCTGTAGTGACTTGATCCTTCTCTTAAAATCATAGAATGGTTTGGGTTGGAAGAGATGAGACCTTAAAGGTCATGTAGTTCCAACCCCCCTACATGGGCAGGGACATCTTCCACTAGACCAGGTTGCTCAAAGCCCTATCCAAACTGACCTTGACGCAGCCTGTTCCAGTGTCTCGGTACCCTCACACTGAAGAATTTTCTCCTAATCTCTAACTTAAATCTCCCCTCTTCCAGCTTAAAACCATTGCCCCTAGTCCTGTCACTCTGCACATCCTGGTGAAAAGTCCCTCCCCAGCTTTCCTTTTGGCTCCTTTCAGGTACTGGAAGGCTGCTATAAGGTCTTCTCGGAGCCTTCTCTTCAAGAAATCACTAAAATCACCAAGCATATGCAGTAATATTTTTCTTTTCAAAGAAGTTTTGTTTTGGATAAACTTTATAACTGAGGATAAATTAACTTGGCTCTGTTTATTTTTTTTCCCCATGTCCTGCCTCTCCATCTCCCCTTCATGTACTAGTATTCAGCAATCGCTGACAGTTTTGGTCCCGCGTGTGTGGCCCTTCTTGCATCACACTATCTCTTCTGTCCGAAAAGCAGCACTGGAAACATTATTCACACTGCTGTCCACCCAAGACCAGGTAAGAACTGGAATTACTAGTGTTTTACTATGATACATATGGTAATTTGCTTGATCGTATGATATCCTTGTTTCAGAGCTCATCAACATGGCTGACTCCAATTCTCCAAGATATGCTGAGACACATATTTCAATTTTGTATCTTAGAAAGCAACCAAGAAATTTTGGATCTTATTCACAAGGTATTTGCATGACTTATGACCTAGATACAATGTTTTTGTATCCTGCTCATTTTTTATCCGCTGCACTTTTATGCAGATAAAGAATAATGTGTCCATGTTAATAATTTTCAAGTTAAGTGATTTGATGCTTTACTGTAGAATGAAGAATAGGATGGTTCCTACAGTTTATCAGCACATAGATGATCTTATAAATTGTATAAATTTGTTGTGATTCCCACTATTTTTCTTTCCCAAGGTATGGCTGGAACTGTTAAACAAGGCATCTGTACAGTATGTAGTTGCAGCTGCATGTCCATGGATGGGAGCCTGGCTCTGCTTAATGATGCAGCCATCTCATTTACCCATTGACTTAAACATGTTGCTAGAAGTAAAAACAAGATCAAAAGTAAGTGAAATGTTACCTCAGTAACTGTTCTGTCCTACTGGAGAAAGTAGGAAATTGATTACCTGTATTTAAAGACACCTTCTAAAGGTGTTAGAGGTGAATGGTGGTGCCTTTCTTCAACTCTAAATGTTACCTGTCTTACAAACCTCAAGTCTGTAGAACGAAATAGTTCTTGTTAGGTTACCCATGAGAATCTGAAGTTCTGTCATGTGGCACGTTCCCTGTGAATACCTTCTAAAGTCTATTTACATGGTTCCATAACCATCACGGTTCCAAACTCCATCCATTTACAGGACTGAGTCTTAAAGCATTGTGTTATTTATGAAAACATGCTGGAGGATGCTTCCTTTTTCCTCTATGTGGACTTGGTCTGTCAGCTATATGTTAACTATTTGGTTTAACATTATAGTGAAGGAACCATATCCTACATTTAATAGGACCATAAAATACTATTAGCGGAGAGGTGATTTACAATTATTAACTACTTTAAGAAGCCTGTTATCCACAGAACATTCTGGCTTAGTCCAACTTCTGCAGGTTATGCTAGTTACTGGAAATGCAACGGAATATAAATTCATCTTTCCTATTACAAACACACTTACTTCCAACCTCTCCCAATTTTACTCCATAGGAAAAGGCAGGAGCTAAACTACGTCAAGGTCAAACCCAGAATAAGGAAGTGATTCAGGAATATATTGCTGGGGCAGAGAGCATTGCAGAAGATCCAGCAACCCGGGATTATGTGGTCATGCGAGCTCGAATGATGGCAGCAAAGTCAGTTTGTTGTGAATCTGAACCAAAAAAAATTAAAAGCAGTTTTTCTTTTTGTTATATAGTGGGTTTTGCCAAAATCTAATTATGTGGACTTTGTTCAAATTGAAGATGCAAAAAATTAATTGCAGAGTAATTGTAATATTTAAGTGACTGTTCTTTCTCCTTTTGTCAGGCTGCTGGGAGCGCTCTGTTGCTGCATTTGTGACCCAGGTGTAAATACTGTTACTCAAGAAATAAAGCCAGCTGAATCATTAGCTCAGCTACTGCTCTTCCACTTGAATTCTAAATCTGCCTTGCAGAGGATTAGTGTTGCATTAGTAATCTGTGAGTGGGCAGCTTTGCAAAAGGTAGGATGTTTCTGCAGCAAAAATAAATTTTCATTACTATTTTAATCTACAGCTTGTCGCCTGCTCCTTAGTTTGAAATAAAATTTCAGTTGATAAGCTGAAATGGTATTTATACATGTAAATACTAGACAATGGAGGAACATGTTACTTTGTAGCTACAAGCGAACCCTCAGAACTATGAATCAGTAAATGTATTCACATTTCTACAAATAACTCTCTGAACATGCATGTTCTAAGTTCAATGCTTTGTCTTAATGTGACTGTCTTCCCTGTATGAACTATCACTTGTTCTGGTGGCAGACTAAAGGTTTTGTTCATAATACTTAATATTCTGGGTTACAAATGTTAATGGTCTGTCTGGAAACGGAATTTTTGTAGCTAGATTGCACTGTTTAGTGCAAAAACCAAACAAAAAGAAATTGTGATTACTCAGAAATACGAATTGTCTCTTCCTGTTACAGGAGTGTAGAAGTGTGGCTGTTTGTGTGCAGCCTCGTTTACTTGGGGTCCTTTCTGAACATCTCTATTATGATGAAATTGCTGTTCCTTTTACACGAATGCAGAATGAATGTAAACAACTCATCTCATTGTTAACTGATGCAAACATTGACATTGGAAACAGAGTAAACTGCAGTGTATTCACAATCGATCAGGCTAATGAGCTGGTAAGTAGAGGCATGTCAGCCCCTCCTTCAAATCTGTTCTTGTTTTGAAATATATCTTCAGCATGATTATTAGATAGTAAATTGTAGAAATAATGTGGTGACTTTACACATCCTTGGACATGAGATATGTAATAGATCCTTACTGCTTCCCTTGTGGTCTTTACAGATGATGCCAAAAATGAAGTAGAATGCAAGATAGATATTTAACAGGAGAAAAAAATGACTGTGTTCTGACTCCAGGTGTAGATTCACTATTGAAATCTATACAGAAGAAAACAAAGCAAGCTGGTACTCCTTCAAATCACTGTCAAAAGACTAGTAAATAAACCATGTAAATTCTAGACCTCCTATCCCCCTCAGCCTCCCTAGGCCTATGTTTTAAAAGGTTTTTCCCTTACTGTTCCATTGATTTGTCATCTTAAATCTGAAAACATGAATGTTAGATGTGTTAAAAAAAAAAGGTAGCTCTTGACATGAAAAGCTCTGTAAACAAAAATACAGCAAATCACAGACTCTTAGGGATTGGAAGGGACCTTGAAAGATCATCTAGTCCAGCCCCCCTGCCAGAGCAGGGTCACCCAGAGCACATCACAGAGGAACTTGTAGAGGTGCATTTTGAATGTCTCCAGCAAAGGAGACTCTGGGCAGCCTGTTCCAGTGCTCTGTCACTTTCACAGTAAAGAAGTTTTTTCTGATATTTATGTGGAACCTCCTATGCTCCACTTTGCACCCACTGCCCCATGTCCTATCACTGGACATCACTGAAAAAAGCTCCTCCTTTACATATTTGTAAGCATTGATGAGGTTGCCCCTCAGTCTCCTCTTCTCCAAGCTGAAGAGGCCCAGCTCCCTCAGCCTTTCCTCATAAGGGAGATGTTCCACTCCATTAATCATCTTTGTGGCTCTGTGCTGGACTCTTTCAAGCAGTTCCCTGTCCTTGAACTGAGGGGCCCAGAACTGGACACAATATTTCAGATGAGAACCTCCCTTGACCTACTAACCACATCCTTTCTAATACACCCCAGGATGCCATTGGCCGCCTTGGCTACAAGGGCACATTGCTGGCTCATGGTCATCTTCTTGTCCACCAGGACCCCCGGGTCCCTTTCTCCTATGCTGCTCTCCAGCAGGTCAGCCCCCAACCTGCACTGGAACATGGGGTTGTTCTTCCCCAGATGCAAGACTCTACACTTGCCCTTGTTGAATTTCATCAAGTTTCTCCCCACCCACCTCTCCAGCCTGTCCAAGTCTCAATGAATGGCAGCACAGCCTTCTGGTGTGTCAGCCACACCTCCCAGTTTTGCATCATCAGCAAACTTGCAGAGGGCACACTCTGTTCCCTCATCCAGGTCACTGATGAAAATACTGAATGGCACCAGTCCCAGTACCGACCCCTGAGGGACTCCACCAGTCACAGGCCTCCAACTAGATTTTGTCCCATTGACCACAACTCTCTGACTTCTTCCTTTCAACCAGTTCATGATCCACTCACCACTTGACCATCAAGAGCACACTTCCTCAGTTTATCTACAAGGATGCTGTGGGGCAGCATCCCCACATGCCCATGTTGGGGCAGCAAATTAAAAGATTTTTCTTCCAACCCTAAATGGGTCTCTTAAGCAGAGAGAAAGATGAGCATGGCAGGATATAAGTGAAGAACTTGTGGATTTAAGACCCTGAGGAATAAAAGGGAGGGGTGTGGAGATTTGGGGGAATGAAGAAATAGTGATGGATGTTGCCCCCCCCAGAGTGGGGGAGGAAAGGAATTATGATCCTGTATGTGTTTGTGTACGCAACGGGGGTCTTGAGGATAAGGGTAAGAGAAGTTGATTTGTATAGTTAAGACCATGATAACCGTAGTATGATGGATCTTGACATTCTAACTTAGTTTGTAGTATTTATGTAGTAATACGCAGTAGTCTAGTCTGGAAATCCTATTGTGTATATGGACTGAGGGGATTTTGGCAGCCAATCTGATTATGGCTGCCATCAAAAATGAATAAATTCCCAAGTTAAAGCCAGACAGGATCATGTGAGCTTATAGTGATCTCTGTGAGAAGTTTTCATGTATCTGACCTGTTACTCTGGAGTCTAGTAATAGGGCTACTTGACCAATGCATGTGTTTTCAGAAGATACCCATTCTGGATTAGAAGACTCATTCCATAACTATTTGCTATTTTCTGTGGCTGTCTTCTGCACCCCTTTCAAGTTTTTTTGAAATACAGACACCAAACCTACTCTACGTTGTAGTATGGGTCTTCATGCATTAGATGTAAAAATACTATGCTCCTCTTCCTTGCTATGTATATTTTTTTTGCCCTTTGGCCATTCCTGTCATCGAGGTCATGTGGAGTAGAACTTGAGGTATCTGTAGAATGAAGCAGTGCAAGTCAGATAGTTGGAATACTTGACTATTTAAAAGGCAGAAACCAACAAGTCCCTCCCCTGCCCAAGACTAACCCTCTCAAGAGCTGTCATCTTTCCTTTAATTAGGAGCTTAAATATCCTAAGTTTAGCATTTCCACGACTCCATGTAGCTTTTATCTGTTTCCTGTGAAAGATTTAAGCAACAGTAGTCACCAGTTGTGACTGGAGGAGGATATGCCAAGTCCTGCAGCTACTGTACTGTGCTCAGTTTTTGCATAGATTTTTATCCCAGTCTTCTTTCCTCAAAAGAAAATCATCTTAGAAACAACTTCTTCATGAACAGGACCTTGCACATCTTTTCTGGTCTCTTGTATTCATGGCATATTATCTTTTGCATATCTGTCGTGTGCTTGCATATTGCCAGAATATCTGGGTATATCTGGCAGATATAGGACATTCTAAATTTGGAGGAGTATGTAAGCTCCTCTTTTAGGTTTGGGAATCTAGACTTGAAAATGTTCATGATATGCCTGATTTTCCCCTTGAGGTGCAGTTCAAGATTACAGAAACTATATTTTGGAGCATTTCCTGCTATTTGCTGGAAAAATGGAGATGATAATACTCAGTGAGGTGGCTCATATTATGGCATGAAAACTGCAGTTTTCAGGGGATATCCCGTTTTAAAGTAAATGAAACAGATTTGTAACTCTTTCTTCCTTTTTACTAGGTTACTTCCGTTTTCAATGAAGTGACATCATCCTTTACTTTGAATCCTAAAATTCTGCAACAATTGGACAGTAAACGGCAACAGGTCCAAATGACTGTTACAGAAACAAATCAAGAATGGCAAGTGTTGCATCTGCGAGTCCATACATTTGCTGCATGTGCAGTTGTGAACTTGCAGCAACTTCCAGAAAAACTAAATCCTGTTATAAAACCCTTAATGGAAGCTATCAAAAAAGAGGAGAATACACTTGTACAAAACTATGTGGCTTCATGTATAGCAAAGTTACTTCAGCAGTGTACAACAAGGTCTCCTTGTCCCAACTCAAAAATTATAAAAAATCTCTGCAACTCTCTCTGTGTGGATCCACATCTTACCCCATTAGCAGCGTGTCCTGCACAGCCTCAGACTAGCCATGAGAACTCAAAAGGTATGGTATCTAAGACTGCCTGGATTCATAAAATGTCTGCTTGTCTCTGAACTGTTGAAATGAGTATTTAAGTGAATCTTTTTTTCAGTGTTCTTAAAATGCCAGCAACTGAGTCTTCAATTATTAGTAATTATTTCATTTAGATATCTTAAAATACACACTGTGTACAATTTTTCACAGATTTGGCATATAAAAGACCTTTGTTCCCATTTTCAATTATTTACTGTTGTTCAATTATTATCCACTTATGATCATGTTTCATTTACATGTCTTACGAAGCTTTTAACTGAAATCAAATCAGAATGGAAACTAAAGTAGCCTTTTAGAAAAAAGTCTGACTTATATTCTGTAAGCTAATTGTAAGGTAACAAAAGACAAGCATAATGTTTGGAATAAACAAATAATCTAGGGTCATGGATTTTTTTTTTAATTACTTTCTTGCTAAAAATTGAATGAACCACACAAATTTAGACCTTAACAGTCTCAAACCTGCTTTAAAGTTTGACCAACATATGTTTTACCTTTTCTTAATGAATGTGTCATCCTTCATCTCAGAGTAGAGTAGCATTCATACCTGATTGAAAATTAAGCTGATTAGCATACACAGAAACATGAACAAATACATACTGATAATACCTGCTGTTGCATCCTGATAGCAGTCTTCAACTGTTTTGAGATAAAAAACTTGTGCAAACTTTTTATATTTAACTGAAGCTTTGTTACCTGTTTTTTTTGCTGAGTAAGAATATATGCGGTATTTTGCACATTTAGATTTTCTTGCCAAGTCTAATGTGCTTTTAACAGAGTAACTCTGCTCTGAACTTAAACTTTTTCATCTTTGAGGATGATGACAAAGTTTTTTTTTAAAGCCTGTGACTTGCAGGTACCTATCGCTTCTACCTACATTTTAAACTGCAGCTTAAATTGTTGTCAACTGTTCTCTTTTCCTTTAGGGCCCAACTCTGATAAAGATGGGATGCATCATACAGTTACCAAGCATAGGGGAATAATTACACTGTATAGACATCAGAAAGCTGCTTTTGCCATCACAAGTCGGCGAGGTCCTACTCCAAAAGCTCCAAAAGCCCCAATTGCAGATCTCCCCACTGGCAGCAGTGGAAGCATTCCTACAGAACTTGATGAGGTAAATTACAAAACCTTGAGCATGCACCATGCACACCTACTCCTTCCTTCCATTAGTTTGAATTAACTGGAGTTGATAGTATTATAATAGGATATCCAGGATCTTTTCATGAGAGAACTGAACTGATTAGAAAAATTTGTGATGCAAGCACCGTATATTAGTTTATGATGATGATTTAAGTCTTCAACTGTGTCATTAACAAAATCAATACTCCTGAAATATTTTACACTTAGTATAGGATATGAATATCTCTGATGTGCATGTGGCTTCCACACTTGCTTAAGTTTTATATGAGTAAAACTTACATAGTGTTTTAATAAGATCCTAGTCAGGACTGTGATTCCTAAACAGTGTTGTGGATTTTGTTCTTAATTGTTAAAGTAATTTTTATCAATTCTACTTTATAAAGTAAGTGGAAGGAAGAGAGAAAGGGCTTAATAGCAAACATCACTTTGGGAAAGTTTTGTTAGCATGCTGCTGTTCTTGGTGTTCCCTATACTGGCTATATTCTGAAGTTCTGGAGCTGGAACCAGTTGCAAAACCTCTTGATGAAATTGGTCTGTGTCAGTAGAAGCCGTATCTCCAAATTTACAGGATTTAAATAGTCTGCTAGAAAAGATCTTCCTTTTTTACCTGTATAAAAAATAAGTTACTTGAAAAAAATCAGCCAGCAAATTTGTTGTAAGCAGCTATAAACACAATCAGAATTGAATGCCTGTATAACAATGTGCACCTTCTTGGAAAAATGTTATTCTTCAATTTATCTGTCCTCACTCCTTTGGTTAATTTTCATTTTAGGCTCAGAAACCATATGTTGTACAGAGAAGAGGAGCTGAATTTGCCTTATCTACTATAGCTAAACATTTTGGTGCTGAAATGGCAACAGGATTGCCACATCTCTGGGATGCTATGGTTGGTTCATTAAGGAACAACATTCACACCAATAATTTTGGTAATTACACTTCTGATTTGAGCTGGAGGGTCTGGTCAGCTGGTGGCACTAGATCAGTCTTAAACTGAACATATTTTCTGTTTTTAACAGACCGAAAGTCCTTGCTGGAAAAAGGAGATGCTCCTGCCCAGGAGCTAGTAAATTCTTTACAGGTTTTTGAAACAACAGCAGCTTCAATGGATACTCAGCTACATCCTCTGGTAATTATATGAAGCAGTTCAGTCTGTTCATTGCCACTGTTTTATCTTTGTTTTGCAAAGCTTATTTTTAGTTGTCTTTCTTGTTTAGCTCAAATGGTGTTTTTATTGCACTTGGTAGTCTGCATGTTCTAGTAATCTAGTCTTGATAAGCTGAAGACATATAGCCTTCTATCTTCAGTAGTTAAGCTGTTACACTTTAAAGCTATTTCTTCTCTATCCTTGAGTTAGGATAGTTCTGTGAAAGTACCAGCTGAATGTAAAATACTGGTTAAGAAAGAAATGGAAAAAGAAAGTCACCATTATGCCTGCATCTGAATAGAATTTTCTGTATTAGCTTATCTCCAATACTACAGTTCAGAATAAATATAGTAGCACTGGAAGAGGCACAGAGAAAGGCTACAGGATGATAAAAATATATGGAAAAGCTCTCATTCAAGGAATAACTAGGCCAGAACTCTGTCTGGAAGGGATATGATGGGACAGGATGAGCATAAGGGATGGCTGTAGAATTCTGAGCAGATGGAGAAGATTCATATAGAACATATGGATTATTACCTATTTTAGTAAAATACTGAAGTGATTTAAAGTGAATTTGGCATATGTCATGGAAAGATTTATGTATAAGCAGTGTGTGTGTGTGTGTATATATATATATATAGTGTGTAGTTAATGTCTAGATTTGGGCTGCTAATACTGTATACAGGTTTAAAATAAATCATGGTCAAAGAGGGGGAAATCAGTTCATCGAAGTTAACACTTAGGGACTTCCATACTAGGGAAAACATGACCATCCATTTAAGGTATTTGACATAAGTTTTTTGTGCTGCTTAAAAAGGTATGTAGGCACACACATACCACCTTGGGAAGATGGGAATTTCCTTCTGGGTGTCTTTCATGTCACATAGAGTTAAAAAGACTCCTAACATGGATATTTGTCTGCCTAAACATAAATAAAAATAATCTAGAACTAGCTTGAAGGAATTTTTTAATCTATGTATCTGTATTTAAGCAATATTTTTTTTTTATAAAAAGTTCTGAGTACTTAGTATTATATTTTTGCAGTGTGAAACACTTCCTTAATTATTAGGGACTTCCTTACTTTGCATTTTTATTATAACCACAAACATTTTCTTGCTCTCTGAATTTTAACTGTACTGGGGAGTAGTATTTATTCAAAGTTCAGTCATTTGAAAGGAAGCCATTTCAAGCCACTTCTTTGTGAGGCAACAGTGACTTTAAAAGACTGTCTTTACGTCAAAATAATGTAGTAATTTGCTTATAATTAATATTAACCTTTTCTCCCCATCCTCTTTTTCTATTCAGTTAATACAGCATTTGCCTCATCTTTATATGTGCCTTCAACATCCCAGCACTGCAGTGAGACACATGGCTGCTCGTTGTGTAGGTGTTATGAGCAAAATAGCTACCATGGAAACAATGAATATCTTCTTAGAGAAAGTTCTACCATGGTTGGGAGCAATAGATGACAACACCAAACAAGAAGGTGCAATTGAAGCACTTGCATGTATCCTTGCTTGAGTATTCAAAAAAGCATAAACCTCTTTGCAGTTGCATGATTTGGAGGAACAAAAACTGTTGCCTGAAAAAAAAAAAAATGGGAGGAGGAATGAAACAAAATGTTAAGCTCTTAAAAAATGGAAGAAACTTTAATTTCCATTGTCTTTATTTTTTCTAGCAGATGAAGGTGGATGTAATTCAGCTTCTCAAACCATGGAATTCAATGAGCTAAATGTAACTGGGTAGATCAGACTTTTTTATTTTTCACTTTGCTTTGTTAGCAGAAATCCTGTTCCTCAGAATGTAATGTATTAATGACTTTTACCCACCGAGTGTAAAATCTGCCAGGTGTATATTGATGTCAGACAATCCTGAACTGGTAAAAACTATTTCCTTAATAACTGATCCAGGTGTAATGGAGCAGCTGGATGTTGGTATAGTTCCATACATTGTTCTTCTAGTGGTTCCAGTTCTGGGTAGAATGAGTGATCAGACTGACAGTGTACGTTTTATGGCTACTCAGTGCTTTGCAACACTAATTAGACTCATGCCTCTTGAGGTAAGCTCATGCTGTAAGTATACTGAGTATGTGAACTGTCCTGTATCTGCTTTTTCACCAGCCACAACGTCCATGTTTCTGGGTTATTAAATGTTGAATAAGTAATTTTTTATAGATGGTGAGACCATATCCAGTAATTGAATATGTCTCCTTTATAATGTAAAGGGAGTAAAATTTGACCCTCTGTTCTTAATTTTCTAAATTAACATTAAAATTTATCTTTAAAAGAAATTAATTTCAACTGTGTATACCAAGTTAGTGTATATCCATACATTTTACATGTAGTGTTGCTCTTGCTAGTCTTGGCTCAAAAGTCTTAGGAGTTATGTGTGCTCTCCCCTGGGTATGTATGTTGTGTATACGGCCAAGAGAAAAATGCATAAAAAAGGAATACTGATTTAAAAGGAAAAAGTGAACTATCAGCAATAGAATTAGTGTAGAGATAAGCACAGCTACTTATTCTTCCCTCTTAAAATAAAAAAAAAGCCCCACCCTACAGCTTTGGGCAAAATCCTGTGTGTATTATGATCCAGTAGGGTTTAATCAGTACAGATTTGCTTTACTTTTTCAGTCTTACTACAACTTGCATACCTTAGACACTTTCTAATATTGCACTTCAAGGACTACAAGGCTTATAAGTAACTTATTCTCACCACAAGATGGTAACAGAAGACAGTTCAGAATTCTTTTTCAAAAAATTAGGTTTTAATTTAGAAGAACAGAACCTTAGAATCTGGTAACTGGCAGTCTGCCTTAAATGGAGCACTTTCTTTCTGTATGCTTTCATTAAAATGTTGAAAAAGTTGAAAGTGAGTGAAGTAGAAATTAATTTCTGACATGCTGCTATTCATTCCAGTGCCATTTTACACCAGTGTCCTTCATATGTCTCTAAATACAGTCCTATGGAATACATCTAACTCAGATTATTTTTTTAAAGCTATTTTAGAATTATTTACTGAGCATGTCTTATTACATGTAATTGTTTTATTATGCATCAATATGCATGATCAGTTATGTTTCTTTTCTACAGTTCAAGAACTCCCTTAAGACTTCCCTTGCCATACAAGGAAGTTCAATATCAGCTACTGAACTATATTAAATATGCAAACTTTGAGTGAAAGTAGACTGAGAGAAAAGTAACAGTATTGTTGTGGGACAGTCTTTTGAAAGCTTTGAAAGCTAGCAACTTTAAATGTTAGCCAAAGAAAGAACTTAAATTTATAACTGTAGAGGAGTTGGAATCATCTCAGTGGAAAAAGTAGGGAGTAGATTGATAAGGACTAGAAAAATAGATGCTTTATGGGGAGATACATTGATAAGGAATCCTTTTTTTGAGATTGAAATAATTTGATAATAAAGTTTTTGTAGACCAAGTTCCACACATGCTTTGTGTGGGAAAAAAAACCTTATCTATGGATACAGTTTTACATTTTGTGACAGGAATGCTTTTTAGGGTAGTCTAGAAGATACTTCGTAAGACAAATTTTCAAGCTTTCTGTAGTTATAGTCTTATTATTAAAACAAAAAACCTTTTCCACTCTTTTAATTTCATGTCCCTGAAGCATAATTTACAGTTCTTTAACAAAACAGCCTTTCTAGTCTTTTGTATTAATTGTTGGCATTTTACTAATGCAGGACCTGAATTCAGCTGCTGGATAAGTGAAAGTGATAGAAGCCTGAAAAAACTTGGAGCTTCTAATCTGTATTACTGTGGTGGTTTATAATTGTAATTGGAAACAATACCAAAAAAATTAGTTGGGAGAACTTAGCTGTGCTCGGTTTTATGTATCCTTATTCTCAATTTCCTTATTCATTGAACCATGAAAATAGGAGGGAATGATTGTAAGATAAATGGTTCAACTTAATCTGTACTCTTATTGATGAGCAGTCATGCTGCAAGCTGACTTTAACCAAATTAATTGGCACAGTAGTGACACTTCAGTCACGTTTGTTTAAAAGAGAGGTTAGGAAGAGCAGTTGAACAAGTAGGCTGTTATGTGTAGGTATGTACTTAAGTACTTTATTTGAGCACTTCTAGTATAAAAAATCTGGGTTAGTTTTCCTCTTATTAACGTCATACACAATGGAATCATTTGGCAGAGTTTTTTTTTCGCAGCCAAGAGCCCTAAGTGATTAGTAACTTGGGTTTTGAAGTAAAGCTAACTAAAGATGGAGATGGGCCAGAAAACTGGGATGACAGATGTGATAGAAAATACCAGTGCCTCTTTTGCTATTTTATCTTATTAGAAAGCAACAATGTCTGAGCATGTTTGGTCCCCAGATAGCTGCTTTGGGCTTCTGGCCTGGTATGGGAAGTACCTAGGAAGCCAAAGTCTGCTGCTACAAACCTAAAGGGGTTTAGGTTTTTCTTTTTCTCCAGTAGTTTCCAACTGCTTGAATTCCTCCTACAGATTTAAATATCACTTTACATCTAATTCTAACATCTTTAGGAGAAAAATCCATTGAACTTTGGATGGTAGACTGTGGCTATGGAGAAATGGATGTCAAAGGGTTCTCTAGCCAGCTAGATTAACTCTCTGATTACAAGTAGAATAGTCCAATCTTTGTAAAGTCTTAAAAGCCTGGCTAGGATTTCCCCTCTGCTATGCAATTTAAGTTTTTCAGTGTATCCTGTGGGGCAGAATTTGTGTTTTGCACCCTACAACCCTGGATGAGTTGATCTGCAAACAATCAAAAAGCATAACACTGAGTTTAGATTTATACAATTGAGAAGATTGCAGGTCATTGTCATCTGTTTAAGATTTGTAAGCTAGTATGAGGTTTTATTTCTTACTGTCTGTGTGAAAATTAAGTGCTGTAGCTCTTAGATAACTGCTTTAAAAATATTATCCTAGGCTGGTATACCAGATCCACCAAACATGTCTGAAGAATTAATCCGAATGAAAGCCAAAGAACGTCACTTTCTGGAACAGTTATTGGATGGCAAAAAACTGGAAAACTATGAAATTCCAGTACCAATCAAAGCAGAGCTCAGAAAATATCAGCAGGTAACAGCTTACACTTTTTATCAAGAGCAGTAAGTTCCAGTGTGATGCAATTTTATGGAAGAGTATGAGTTGTTTGGGCACTGGGGTTTTTTGCTTGTGGGTTTTTGTTTTTAGCTGTGCAGTGTCTATCTTGCACTCTTGGGTAAGGAAGAGCAAATTAAGTAATAAATGCCATTTATACTGTTTTGCTTTTAATGGTCTTTTATTCCTCCTTCTGGATTCTATAATTTTTCTCAGGGCTGTGCCTTGTTTAGGTTGACTGGCAGCTCATGACTGCAAAGCCAGGCCTCATTTGTACTGTTTGACTGCTTATCTTTATCCCTGTATTCCCCTCTGCTTTGAGTGAATGGGCTGTAGTGGATGCATTTAGGGTGGGGAAACAAGCTCTTAGTTGGGCAGTGATGGATGATAGAATATACAGCCCTTGAACTCCAGCTTAACTAGCCAAAAATCAGTTTTTATTTCTGAGGCACTCTTTTCTGATTTCAGGATGGAGTGAACTGGCTGGCATTTCTCAATAAATACAAACTTCATGGAATTCTTTGTGATGACATGGGCTTAGGAAAAACTTTACAGTCCATTTGCATTCTTGCAGGTGATCATTGCCTCAGGTAAGCTTAAGTAACATCCTATCTCAAAGACTTAAATGAAAGGTTTTATCTACATTAATGACTCTGGAAATAGTCCTGGGCAGTTGGCTGTAGGTGGCTCGATTGAGCAGAGGGGTTGGATGAGATGACCTCCAGAGGTCCCTTCCAACCTCAACTACCCTGTGAAAAACAAATTTTTCAGGCTTGTTTTGATATTCTTAAAGGGCTCAGGAATATGCAAGAACAAAACTGGTGGACAGTGTTCCTCTTCCCTCCTTGGTGGTGTGCCCTCCTACACTCACAGGACACTGGGTGGATGAAGTGGGCAAATTTTGCTCAAAAGAGTATCTTAATCCTTTGCACTATACAGGACCTCCTACTGAAAGAGCAAGGTAACACATGTTGCACTTATGCCTTGTGTAGGGTAAAATATCATACATAGAATTTTGCAATTCACTTTACTACTAGTACTTAAACTTAGGTATGCTTCATTGTGGACATGGTAAATCTTGTGATGGTACCTTTAAAGGCTGAAGTAACGTTAAGGAACAATATAATTATTATTTCCTTTTTTCTCTTAAGGTTACAACACCAGGTGAAAAGACACAATCTCATAGTGGCTTCATATGATGTTGTGAGAAATGACATTGACTTCTTCAGGTAAGAAATGGTTTTCTGAGGTTTTTAATAGCTTAGAATTCTAAATACTACTTAAGTCTGTGTTCTTCTTTTCTAGAAATATTAAGTTTAATTACTGCATTCTTGATGAAGGCCATGTAATAAAAAATGGAAAAACAAAGCTGTCAAAAGCAGTAAAGCAGCTGACTGCCAATTACAGGATAATTCTTTCTGGGACACCAATCCAGGTAACTGCTTTTTTTCCTAAGAAGTTGGATGAGTAGCTGAAACGAAGCAAAATAGATCTATTTTGCAGCCAATTTTATTGTGCTTTTTTATCAATGAATCTTGTTCAAAGTACACATTGTAAAAAGGCCTGTCATTGCTAAATTCTTGAAAACACAACGTTTTCCTTTCCCAGTATAGCTGTGTCGGGGAATGGGGGCAGGATCTGTGGTACTGATGGGGCCCTAAAGCTGACAAGTTTCTCTACCACTTGTTCTTTAAGGAAGGCAATGGCACATTTCCTTATACGTCTAGTGAAATCAGCAAGAAACTTCACTCTAAGAACTGCAGATTTTGGGCTTTGTCCTAAGGGCTTGTCTGTGGAGTGTGTGTCTCATCTAGGACTAAGGCCACTGGTGTCTCCTGGGTTTTGATGTCCAGAATTCAGGGTGTGGCATAAGACATCAGACACAGTAGAAAGTCCAGTGACATATTAAGGTGTATGTACAGGTTTTCCTATAACTTATGTTGATGAAAGAGCCACTGAGTTCCAGGAGCTCAAAAGAACATTGAAGTATTTGTGTGTTGTTTTATAGGCAATGTTAAATATGTGTAGAAAGGTTTCTGATAATGTGTAACTATTCATTACTTGTGGAAAAAAAATAACCAATGTTTCTTTTTATGTTCAGAACAACGTCTTAGAGTTGTGGTCACTGTTTGACTTCCTTATGCCAGGATTTTTGGGTACTGAACGGCAATTTGCAGCTCGTTATGGCAAACCAATACTGGCAAGTAGAGATGCCCGAAGCTCCAGCAGAGAACAAGAGGCTGGTAAGGATAAAAAATTAAATCTTGGTTTTCTTATTTACTGCCTTTAAATGAGAACTGCTAATAAAAAGAGAGTGCAGTCAGTTCCAGCATCAGAGATTAGAGGACTGAATGTTTTTAATTTTTTTCCATAATATGGATTCTGTTGCTGTCACTAGGGGTCCTTGCAATGGAAGCACTGCACCGCCAAGTTCTGCCATTCCGGCTACGGAGGATGAAAGAGGATGTACTGCAAGATCTTCCACCCAAAATTATTCAAGATTATTACTGCATTCTCAGTCCTCTGCAGGTATGCTTCAAAAGTGGCTGGAAGCTTAGTTGTTTTTCATAACAGTTAAGACCAATAAGAAACAACTTCTGTATTCCTGGGTCAGTCTGATATCAGCTCTGATAATTTCTGGGACCACAGGACTAAAGTTTTTCCAGTATGTGTTTAAAAACAAATTTCAGTCCAGATGCAACAGAATCTCTCTCTAGCTTAATTTCTGGCATTGTTGTACAAAAACAACACCTAAGCATCTGCAGATTTTTTTAAAGAGTACTTTCCAAGCTGAAAGAAAACAAATGGCAAGAGATTTCACTATTAACATTGATCTTGTGCTACATATAAAATAGCTTTCTTGATTTATAGTAATTCAGAAATTTAACTCAGAAATAAACTCTAAAAATTACTGTCTTCTGTCAGAGAAACCATACTCATTCTTTTGTCTGGGGCCTGGTCTACAGGTTCAGCTTTATGAAGATTTTGCGAAGTCTCGTGCCAAATGTGATATTGATGAAACAGTTTCTTCAATTTCATTGAATGAAGAAACTGAAAAGCCAAAGCTTAAAGCTACAGGTCATGTATTTCAGGTACAGATTTCTTCAGTAATTTTTATTACCTAGTTCATTTATTTTTGGTAACTGTATTTCCAGGTTTAATAAAAAATGAAAACCCAAAAGAGTTAACTTACACATTTGTGGCCATATAATCTAAGTAAAATATTTAGATTTTGGATCAAATTGCCTGGAATGTGATGTAAAGCTATTATGGCTTTGAGTCTTAAGTCATACAAAACAGTCTTAATTTTTTTTCATGTGTTCTGCTTAACTGGTGTTCAGCTACTTTATGGATCTTGGATACTACTCTCAATTAAAAACTGATTACCAAAAATGCAAGATCTCAAGAGGGAAAGAATTTTGGTCTCATCAGACGTTAGACTCAGGATTCCAAAACGTGAACAAGAAATTTCTGTAAAGTTATATCTGAATCTATGAAGGTTCATGGTCTTACAGAATTGCAGTTCAAGTCTTGACTACTTGGAAACAATAATTCTCAAAGACACTGTACAGCTCCCAAACCCATCTGCTACATCCCATACTCACATAAAGGTTTGGGAAATGGTAGTCTTTGCACTGTTCTTGCTACAGGACCCAAGACCATTATTCTCAGTTTGAAATACAGGTGTTATTAATATAAATCTGCAACTTTAATGAAAATATACCCTAAATCCAAATTGTGAAATGTGGCTGATTGGCCCCTATGCTTATAATCAATTTTGTACATCCTTTTTCTGTACCTACATTATTAACCATTTCTTTGAATTTCATTTCCTAAATAAAGGCATTGCAATACTTACGGAAGCTATGCAACCATCCAGCATTAGTGTTAACAACCCAACATCCAGAGTATAAAAGAATTACAGAGCAACTTGCAGCTCATAATTCATCCCTTCGAGATATCCAACATGCACCTAAGCTGTCTGCTTTAAAACAAGTAAGTATGTTTTGCCTTGAATTTCCTAAATTTCAACATTAGTAGGGATATATTTAGAAGGTTTTGTTTACAACTTCATCGATATGAAAACATTTTTTAAAAATGGTTAAATAGCAAATGAAATTGAGTGAAAGGGCTTTTCAGGCATATACCCCGTTTTTCCTGTTACTTCAAGCGAGGAGGGCAAGAACAAGCTTGCTTTAAGGTGATGATGCTTACATAATCTTTGCTGCCTTGTTAAAAAACTTCTGTTTCTTAATCCTGTCACTCTTGCTACAGAAACACTCTTCTATTATACACAAGACTATTATCATGATAAAGTTATGATTGCATTACATAATTAAATTCTATGGTAAGTAAGCAAAATTAAGACAGTTTCTATTCTGTTGACTCTTAAACTATTTTTCTAAGAAACTATTTTTCATAGTTTAGTGAAGCCAAACTTGCGTTATGACTTCCTTCTGTAGTTTACTACTTCTCCATGAGGTCTACTGTCACTTTGACACACTTCAATGCTCTTATACTTTAAGCTGCTCCTGGACTGTGGTTTGGGGAATGGTGGATCTTCAGAAAGCGGTACAGAAGCTGTTGTAGCCCAGCACAGAGTACTTATCTTCTGTCAACTTAAAAGCATGCTGGATATAGTGGAGCATGACCTTCTCAGACCTCAGTTACCTTCAGTTACTTACTTGCGACTAGATGGCAGCATACCTGCTGGTCAGAGGCATTCCATTGTTTCACGGTAAGCATATCCCTTCACAACCCGTATAAGGCCAACTGTAATGAACTGTGTTACTTAGGATACTAAGTTTTTCTTTTGTCTGCCTTAAAGCAGTTGAGGTTCATAAATCCATTTCTATTAAATTGACCATGCGTAACTTTTTTGTATGCAGGTTTAATAATGACCCATCTATAGACGTTCTTTTGCTTACCACTCACGTTGGTGGATTAGGACTTAATTTAACAGGGGCTGATACAGTCGTATTTGTGGAACATGACTGGAATCCAATGAGAGACCTGCAAGCCATGGATCGGGCACATCGCATTGGGCAGGTGAAATATTCTTTAATTTTTTTAAAAGGTTTTTCCCTTGCTGAATTTTTCTTTGAATTTGGGAAGGGTGTAGTGTATAATAAAAGTGACATCTGGGGGTTTTCACCAAGCTTTCATTCATACTTCTTTGTTGCAAATAGGCCCAATGAAGAAGTGTGTACTTTCTTACCCTGTCCAAAATGTGGTATGCCTTCTCTTCGGCTGAGGAGAGGCCAGGGAATTACCACATTCAGTGGAAGAAGAAATGCAACTGACACAATGAACTGAAAGGAATCCCCTAAGGGTGGTTGTTCTCTGCTTGGACAGGGAAAGTGATTCTTGTTTCTCTCTGCACCTGTAAAAAGCAGTGGAGAGCTACCAAGCTGGTGAAGAAAATAAGTCATATGAGGAGTGCCTGAGGGAACTGGGGATGTTTAGTTTGGAGGAGGCTGAGCAGAGATCTCATTGCCCACTGCAACTACCGGAAAGGAGGTTGTAAGGAGGTGGGTGTTGGCCTCTTCTCTGAGGTGGATAACGATAGGACCAGAGGAGAAATGGTCCTTAAGTTGCAACAGAGCAAGTTTAGATTGGATATTGGGAAGAATTTCTATACTGAAAGAGTGGTCAGGCAGTGGAACAGCCTGCCCAGGGAGGTGGTGGAGTCACCATTCTTGGAGGTTTTCGACAAATGTGTACATGTGGCACATCAGGGCATGCTCTAGTAGCCGAAGTTGGGATTTTTTGTGGGTGTTTTTTGGTGGAGTTTGTGTGTGTGTTTGTTTGGTTTTGGTTTTGTGCTGATGGTTGGACTCAGTGATCCAGGGGGTCCTTTCCAACCATGACGATTCTGTAATTCTATGAATTCTTAACTTCCTGAGTACAGCTGTAAATGCAGGTGTCTCTGCTGTATGCTGGCATAGTCTTATTCTTTTATTCTAAGATGAGTCAAATTTACGGAGTTACCCTGCGGTAGTGGTACTTGAAGCCAAAATGCTTCCAAGCTGTCCATGATGAACTATGCTTTCTTTAATATCTCAGAGGGTACATTTTAGCAAAGTGTGTTTTTTTTTCTTTCAGAAACGTGTTGTTAATGTCTATCGGCTGATAACTAGGGGAACTCTGGAGGAGAAGATCATGGGTCTTCAAAAGTTCAAAATGAATGTTGCAAATACAGTGATCAGCCAAGAAAACACAAGCCTACAGAGCATGGGAACAGAACAGCTGCTTGATCTGTTCACTCTTGACAAGGTAAAGAACCACTTGTACAAATACCTAGAGTAAGCTTAGCGAAAAGCTTTGCTTTGAAATGTAAAATTTAATTGGACAAACACTTGAAGTTGGAATGATGAATAGTAGACAGTTCTCTGAAAAAGTGGGAAGTGGTATTTCCCAAAAAGAATCATCAGAATTTTAAGAATTTAGTACATTCCTGAAAACATTCTGTATATTGATTTATGCTTGGGGTTTTTTTCTTTTGTGAAGGATGGAAAAACTGAGAAAGCAGATACCTCTACCTCTTCTGGGAAAGCATCAATGAAATCAGTACTCGAAAACCTTGGAGAACTATGGGATCAAGAACAGTATGACACTGAATACAGTCTTGAAAACTTTATGCATTCATTAAAGTAACTATCATAGATTTGTAATACAGCTGCTGCTAGTTCACGTCTTTTTTCTGCTGATATTCAGCAAACTTAAAGCATATATAGTGAACCTTTAGCTTAATGTGTAAATAGATTTATTGAAAGAAGAATCTTCAAAAGACTGGCACTGAGTGGTGTCACCTCTTTCACTGGGGAGCTATTCTGTCTTAAATGTTTGCACTGTATAAAAACTTTAAATGTAAACATTGTGAGGTGGTTTAAATTTTACTTGTTCTGAATGGCTACAAATTCTTACTTGGCAGAAGAATAAAACAAAGCAAGTTTTTACATATGTTAACAAGTGTTACTTTCTGTTTGAAGTTAAGCCCACCATTATTTTTCTGTATCTATAATACTTTTGTACAGTTGTTTCAGTGGTGACTTCAGGTTGTTCAGTGTACATTTTTCTTTTAAGCATAACTTGCTTTTACAATGTATTAAACAATTTTCAACTTACATTTTTATTCAGATCATTTCAGGACTTGTATCACCAGAAGCAAAGCCTAGAAGTATTGAATAGTTAAACGGCACTTGGTATGTGCACCCACCTTTGTATATTGAGTATAAATACATTATACTCTTCAGTCTTTTGACACCATCTTGAGAGAACAGCTGACTTGAACTTTTTAATGTAATGAGCTATATTAAATACAGGTAATGGCCTATTTGAGGCCATGTTTGCATCCTATTAGCAAGGGTGTACTTTTTTAATTTATCTATAAGGCTAGAATATAGCCACTTTGAGAGATGCATGTATTCAGTATGTTTCAATCCTATATATTTTTTGTAACTAAAAGAAGAAATTAAATAGACATTTTCCAGAAGCAGATTTTACAGTGTCTAGGATTCTAAAATTCATGCTAGAGTGACTGTTTACTAAACTGATGCATGACTTAAAACTTCTTAAACAAATAGGGAGGACTTCTTTTCTTTAGGAGAAAATATGCATAGAAATACCTACATTCAGTTTGAGGGAATTGAATAGTTGAAATTGTGTAACAAATATAGTAAAGGACTTTAATAGCAGTGAGTAAGAATAATATAGCTGTATGTTACACAGCTTTTTATAAAAGGGAGGCAGTAGTGAAAGTGTTTCTACATGTGCATATGTACCAGTATATGCACTTTTTATAAATATTAAATTATAGATAACTTACAGCAGTTGTCTGAATACATAGAGTATATGTAAAAAATATAAAACCTAAGGTTTATAGCTTGCTGTGTGCTTAAGCATCAGAGCTTAAAAACCACCAGAGACCTCAATTATGTAAAATAAGATTGTTTTAAAACAATATATATAAATCAAGACTGTTCTGCAGCATTGGAGGTGAATTAATGTCACATTTCAGTAGTTATGAACTGCCATATTGTAACTAAATTAGCATTCCATAAAAATAAACAAAACTGGGAATACCATAATTTGTATGTTGTGTATGTCTGTGTTTAGGGTTGGGTTTTTTTTCTGTAGGGAATACTTTTTCACTGAAGCTGACTAGATAAAAGCAAATGCTTTTGAAAATTTGGGATTGATTACTAGTATTACATTTCTACCTTCATACACAGAGTATTTCCATTGTGCTTTCAACTCATAATCCAGGTGGGAGGAGAGACAAGATGGAGCTTGGTGTTCTGTTTGCAGAGGAATGAATGGAATACTGGGTACTTTAACATAACTTGGTGCAATAATCTTGTGATAGTGCCCAGAAATAAGATATTTGAATAAAGAAACCTCTTATTTAGTCATAAAACATTGTATATGTTTTTCTTCAAGAGTTTTATCAGTTGCATTGGTAGGAAACTGGCTCCTACTGGGAAAAAAAATACACAGCAAAGGATTGCTTTAAACTAGTAACTACACTGATGTTGCTATGGAACTCTAATACTCATAGTGATGGCCAGGAAGACTCCTGCACCTGGGCAGTGGGAGGAAGCAGAACCTAGAATAATTTGTTTCAAGATTATTTTATGTGCTGACTGATCGTAAGTGTTCTGTGAATTAACACTTTTAAAATGGAAACCAGCAGGAACACTGCATTAAGTATATTAAAAACATTTTTAGTTATGTTAATATTAAAGAGCTTTTCTATGCTTTTCAAGTTAGCAGACCATTCCCCATTATCTGGTTTGTTAGTGCAGTGTTCTCCAGGCACAAACTTTATTAATTTATTGCAAGAAAAATGCTCTTTGAATGCCTCTAACTGCGTTTGACCTGTTTAATGGGACCTGGGCTGAAATAAGAAGTGCAAAGATAGCACAGGGATGTTAGGTCCTCAGCACCAATCCATTTTCTTCTACAGTGTATTACTTGCTAAGGAGGACCAGAGTCTAAACCTTGAGTTGAGTGGAAGTTCAGTCATTGCAGGCCCAAAAAAACATGCCTGCAAATTAGAACTACGTATGTCTGAAGCTTGATGCATTGTGTGTAATTTGCACCAAATTACTAGTCTGATTACTCTTCATTTTTAAGACCAACTCACTACTCAGGAGTCAAGCTTTATTTGCTACTTTAGCAGCCATAAACAATGTCAAACCCTAGCTGTGTGATTCTGCCCAACAAAAGCAAGTCTCCATTGGTATGATACTGTCAAAACCATCCTCTCCAGTGCAGGGATGCCACTCCATTCCTGACACGTGCTCCTTTAAAGACCATAGAGGAGCAGGGTAACAGAGGTCTAACTTCACACTGACATAAATCACAGTGATCTCAGGTGTGACCTAAAGGGGAGATGCACTTCTTCCTTCTGCTGTGTACGTGCATAGGCAGACCTTGCTGCTGGCAAATGGTGGCACTGGGGGAGAGAAAGTACTGAACAAGTGAGCACATTCCAAAAAAACAAAACAGCAATCCACAGATTTAAAGCAGGTCTTCCATCCTCTCCATTCATAAGCCTGAAATAAACAACAACAAAAAACCGTCTTCCATTTCTCACATTAAGGTACCTTTAATTTAACAGAGTATGTCTCTGCCAAGCTGCTATGCATTCTTTTTTTTTTTTTCTTGGTCAACAGCTAAACTATGTTGAACTGGGTTGTTTCTTTAAAAAGTCCTTCCTCCACTAACATCCTGAGTAGCATTCTCCCTTTTCTTTATTACTGTGTTGTCCAAAATTTACCAGACTGTAAGAGTTGCATTGCTGTGTTTGTGCCTTTGGAATAACAGCTGCCATGTGCACAAGATGTCATAACATGACAGAGAAGGGTGCTTTCACTGTGCCATCTAAGAATACTCACCATCACACAATGAAAATACTTGTTCATGCCTTCAAAGTCAGGAATGATGCTCATATCCTGATTAACCAACAAGTATAGCAGTGACCTAGGTCAGGTTTGAAAATTCTTACTTGCAAGAAAGAGGACAATTATATAAAAAGACATATTTCAAATGCCACTGTTGGAACTTTTAGGACAAATATTGAAGCTGCAATATGACAAGGGCTGTAATTTCATTCTGATAGATTTTCCTCTTATCAAGTAGAGCCCATTTCAGTTCAGTGACTCCAACTTCAAGTGCTATTGCTGCCATGCCAGCTGCGTGAGGTGCCACCCTCAATCATCATCACTTTGAATGTCATTCCTCACACATGACTGTAATTCTCACGACTGGTGCACCACTGAACTCTCACTAAAATAAACCATAGGAACATAGAGCTAAATGGGATGAGAGGCTAAGAGTGAATTTATACTGACTAAAAAGCTGCCACCTAGATCCATTTTAGTAGATAAACATGTGGAAGCCTTTACGAACTCCAATGCTCAACTATGCTGTATCTTGAATACTGTAAATAGAAGAAAAGAATAGCTGACCAAACAAAGTACTTAATACCAGATACCACTATGGAACTCAAACATGGTTTTAAGAACTTTCTTAGGTTATGTTTCTTTTCCCTCCCTCAAACCTTAAAAATGTCACATGCCCAGAACTTGTGCTATTTTCTTAGCACAAGTGGATAGCTAACTCAGTGTTGGGTGTCTGTCATTAATTTAGCAATTAATCAACAAACATTCGCTGTTACAGATGATGGATCACCTGCAGTTGGTTTTTTTTGGTTTTTTTTAAAGTAAATTTAGACCAGGATTTGCTAAGTTGTAAGAGGAAAATTCCACATACTAAAATAAAGCACTTACTACTCAATTTCCTTTTTTAGATGAGAGAAGGAAGTAAATTCAGAGAGCAGCAGCTTCAAACCCATAAATTCAGACTCCAGTACAAAAACTGCAGAAAAGTAGAGAAGAGCAGAGTGCAGAAGTGGGGAGAAAGGAAGAGTAATATGCTACAACTTTTCACCTTTTGTATGTGTATCTTGCAAATATAATTCACAAAACACAATGACCTGTTCACTCAAACTAAAAGTACTGAGGTGCTATTTCCTGATCATTTGGAAACTTTGGACACCCATATAAACATAAGCAAAGTTACTATCTGTTCATAGTCAAAATACTGCCCATATTCAGGAGAATGTATTTTCAAGAGACTACAGAGAGAACCATCATGCCCACTAAACAAACCAACAGTCAATGCTGAGCCACCAGAGTTTGTCTTTGTTTATGATTAATTTAACACTCACCCATTTAGGCATCCTATCAGTTAAATTATCAGTTCATTTCCAAACTGCGAAGGATGACGTGGCAGAACTCAATGTTGATACTTCCATTTTCTTTGCTGTCCTAGGAAGAGCTGCAAGATGTAATCAGCATTTTAGGCTTCTCACGGCTGACGCTGTCAGCAGTAGTTAATAAAACACAGAACTGTGTGTTCTTGGAGTTAAATCACTCTTCGGCTGTGTCTATTTTCCAGCTGAAGAGCAAGGCAGCAAACAAAGGAAAAAAACACAACAAACCCATGACAATTTACATCGGCCTTATGCAGGGTCAGGGCAAGTGAAGGAAGAGGAAGGGACATGCACTTGCAATAAGACCGTTTTCCCTGGCTCAGTTTGGTTTCCTCCTCCCAAGTTCCCACTGTGTAGCGTATTTTCCTTCAACGTAGGTGCGGTGGCAGCTCCCGAAGCCAACAGGGCTTCAGGGGCGCTGCTGTGCAAGGGGCTGGAACCGCGCCCGCGGGAGCCTCCTCTGCCGTTCCGTCCCTTTCCAATGGCAGCAGGGAAAGTAGCTCCAGCCGTTGCCACGGAATCCCGGTGTGCCGCCACCAGAGAGCACAAACCAGCCCACCTGACGTCCAAAAAAGCCTAAGTGGCCGGTGGCTGTGAAGACCTTGCGCCTTCCTGCAGCAGCACAGAAACCTAGAGAAAATACAGCCCTACACACAGGGGTCCCAACACTGGCTGTGAGGGT